TGATGTCAAAGCTCATCAGGATAACACTCAGAGCAAAGGGCCTATCAGTGGTGATGAAACCTTACAGTCTCTCGCTATGTCATTTGCTTTTCTTAAAGGAATATTACCAGGGCATAAATCAAGTTAAAATAATTTATGTCCCTTTTCCAGAGCTATTAACAAAGCAAGCTTGGCTTATAACCTCTCATCATTCCAGTCTCCAGCTCTTATCCTAAACCTAACACATTCATCAGATTTCATGTTTTCCTCAGTAACACTAGCTGTTCAGGCTTATGCTTTCTTTAAGATGCTGAAGTTAGACTGCTGTCAGAGATGGGGCTCAAATCCAGGCCAAATTTCCACAAATCTGCATTCTGACATTTGAGAGAAAATAGGATTGGCATTCAAGATACACTTGATATCAGAAAATTAAAACATGAACAGCATGATAAGTCAGGTGCAAAATCCACACTGGTTTGGTCTTTTTCCAGAACCCTTATGTTTGCTGGTATGAATCAGGGGTAATTCCACTAAAGTAAAGGTGCTGCTCAGCTGGAAAACTGGCATTAGAGGAGAATTTCTCAGGCTCTAGGGTTGAATCACTTTCATTTTCCATTAATCTTCCCTGGTTCTCCAGTACTGCACATAATGGTTGTGTTGAGCTCAGAGCAGTACAGGACAAAGTCCAAAACAAATTTGTTCTCAGCAGCAGCTTACCAGCCCAGAAGTCTATGCATTTTAACCAAGGCTACATGCTGGAGCCAAAGTGCCATCTTTAGAGATCACATCATTCAGGCTGTACTTGCCTGGGTAGCAGTAAACAGATTTTTAACCAGTTCAGAGAGTGCCTGAACTCAACTAAGCAGAATATACAGCTCAGTCCCTCCGGTGAACCCTGTGGCTGAGCTGTCCCTTCCTGCCTGCCAAACTCATTGTCCATCTCTTTGCACCACTCTGGGCCTCTGGCCACCAGAACCTGCTTGAATATAACCCAACAGTCACTGTTAGGATGCTGGTGTAGACTGATGTATATTCCAAGTCAGCATCTGAAACACTCCAGCAGAGACAGACCCCAGATCATGGATTTTATTGTTCCTGTAAGACAAGCTTCAAGCCATACCATCTGCTGAGCTGTTCTTTTCCACTTAACTAAAACACGGGGAAAAGTGCATCCCAGTCCTTTGGCTGGTGCCCAAATCAGCTGTCACTCCACATACCTGAAATTTGCATGTGCAGTGAGAGGGGCTGGTCACTATATGCAGAAAGATGTAATTATTCCAGCAAGTCTTTCTGATAGAAACACAGCTAATCTTTGCCTCTGCCAATCTGGCTCAGAGCATTTCCCAAACTGCAATAAGCATCAAGGTCCACAAAACAACTTTTTTAACTGGTAGAATATTGGCTTGATTTCTCGAGATCACTCAGGCTGTCTGCAAAGACAGAACCAATAGGCAAAGAGCAAGTCACTGTGAGATGAGAAAGGATAAGAATACCTGGACTTCTCCACACTTCAGGAAAAAAAGCTACAAAATATCTTCAAACCATTAATAAACTTCAAGGAGAAGTAAGATAACCAGTATCCTTCCTTTTTAGTGCCAGCCACTGCAGGACAGGCCACTTTGCAAGAATGCTACTGAAGGTAGACGCATGTTGGGATGGGGATGATGCCACTTGACAGTGCCACGAGAGTTTTTATTGTAGCTTCTGATAAACTAAAGTACCTAAGTTATTGTTGAGGGTTAGGTGTCCTTTTTTTTGTTTTGTCGTTCTGGCCTGCCCGGGGAATTTTTACCCATTATGTGCTGGGACAACCTAACTACCGGTACTTAGGGGTGCTCACAAAGGACAATGAGTGGCCGGGCCCAGGGAGGGGGGAGGGAAGGGAGCAGAAAAGGAGGGTGGGGACAGTTTTTTGGCTCTCTTCGGCTTCAGGGAAGGACGTTCGTGTGCTGGGTCGCGGAGCTGCTGCGGTAGAGAGAAGGGAATTTTCACCATCACCAGACGGAGCTGCTGCTTCTTCTCCTTCTTCCCTCTTTGTTGGTGGCCTCGCACCCCCTGTCCTGCCGGGACGTGTGGCAGTGCCAGCCACCGCCGCGGAGCTGCTGATACACCTCAGCCACCTCAGCCACCGGCCCAGGATCTCAGCTCATCCCTGCTGTTCCAGCTGACTGTTCCTCAGAGCCCTGCAGGAGCACCCGACTGACTGCCTGAGGGGTTTATGAAACAAAACCTCTCCTCCATCCCATCTCAGCCAAGAAGGCTGTCCCGGGGTCCCTGGTTCTGTGTTCTGTTATTGCTGTAGTTATTGTTGTTTGTTTGCCTGGTTATACTAGTAAAGAGCTGTTATTCCTATCCCCAGATCTCTGCCTGAAAGTCCCCTTGATTTCAAATTTATAATAATTCGGAGGGAGGGGGTCAACATTCTTTCATCCCAAGGGAGGCTCCTGCTCTCCCTAGCAGACATACCTGTCTTCTAGAACCAAGACAGTTATTTTGGTAGAAAAACCAAGTAGGACCAAGTCAGGCAGAGGAAAGAGAATTGATTTGCTTTGTGCAAATCTACTAGTTTTATCTACTCCAAGATGTCCAAAAGATAGTTGATGGTCACTCTAGCCTCCCTTCCTTGGGGCAGGACCTATCCGTGTACATGCAGTTTACTCCTTGGAGGCAGCTGAAATGTGAAAGGTTCCTCTTGCCCTTGTCCCTGAGCACACCTACAGCTCTACAGCATAGACACTCATCACAGGTAAGGACAGCCCCTTCACACCAGGATCAGGGATTTTATGAAAAAAACCCACCCAGATTCAAAAGAAACGTTAAAAAGGAGATAACCGTTCTCCATAACTGACTCTGGTAAAACCATGCCATGCCTGGCATTTCTGCTGCTTGTGCTAATAGATCTTTTAAGTCATCTATTCATCAGCTACAATAGCATCTGTTAAGTCAATCAGTCTGTAAAGCCTGGTTACAAAATCCCCCCAGGAAGCAGGAAAACAACCAGGATAAGGGCTTAATTAGTAGAGAAGAAAGTTTGTTATTTTTTTGCTTTGTTTTCGAAACAAAGCCAAAAAATGCCACAGGTGACAAAACAAGGAACTCCATCAATCCGCACAGCACCTATTTCACCACACTGATCATACTCCTTACAGACATGGGGAAATGTTCCCTTCATTTTGAGAAACTGGTAAAGATGATACATAAACTGACAGCCCAGAATGAATCTGGTCTGTCCATGGCAGCACCAGAGAAGATGCAGAATAAGGGCCTAACTTCATTAGTTACAACAGAACTGTGACAGGAGTCAGGTTCAAGAGCTGACAAAACCAGCAAAAATACCAATTGCTACCTGACTTAGGAATTAGATGTTGTCAGATACCCACAAGGATGTCCAGTTGATGTTTCATGTCAAGGGAATCAGCTTTCCAAAAATAATCTAAATGACAGGAGGGAAGAACATTCCATTTCTTCAGCCACACAGTTCTTGTTTCTGGGTTTTGAAGGTTTTCTCTTTTTTCATCTCCAAACAAGCAAATTGAGTTTTTCAGCAAATAATGACAGAGGATTGTTGGGGGATAGATGTCAGAAGCATCTCCGTATGTATGTGTCTCACTCCCATTTCTATTATTCTTCTTCTGCATCTTCTGTTTCAACCTGTCTGTGTTATAGACAGATATTGCTTTCTGTTGTGCAAAGATCATTACACTTGTAATTGGAAACCTTACGAAATTTTTCTTCCCTCATCCCCTCAGAGGAACAGCTGACAATAGAAACTTGGGTGTCAAATTGTCATACAGAATATGGGAAAGGAGGTATAGCTATGGAAACGACCTAGAAATTTTTCACTTTCTCTTTCATCCTTCAAGTACAGTTAAGAGCTGATAAAGAGGTTGCATAAAAAGCCCTGAGTAATTGGGACCAAGGTGAGCACAACGATGCTAGGTAGAGACACATGTTCTCATCAGGTGCAGTGCAATTTTAAGTCCTGACTACTTTCATATGCAGCTGATTTTCTCTTCCAGTCCATTATAGAAAAACCGTTCTGTTCCAAGTTTCATTTCAGGAGGAGAAATGCTGTTCCATAGGGGAGTGTCTCCTTCCCACCATGCTGAAACCACAACGACTGTATCAGCTTCAACGTGCCAACCCTCTCTGTGTTGTACTACCTTGTATAAACTGAGATTTTTTTTGTTTTCACCAAGAAGTAATACTTGCCATTTTGTCCTGTGTCTGTGCAAGGACTGGCCAAAGTGCCCTTGGCCAGAGACAGGGTCTCCTAAGTGCTCTTGCTCTATCAATAGCTATATTTCATCATATTGAGAAATCGCAGTAAACATTCACAATAGTGATAATATTTGATACTCCTGCTATTACTGGTTTCACCTGATGCAGTGCCAGAGTCAGGCTGGTTGACCACCATGGCACCATGCTGAGAGTGGGACATACCTTGAGAGCAGGTTGACCCAAGATGTAGCCTAGAGCCAATGCTCTATGACACATTTGAGCTGTCAGCGATGAGTGTGGAGGCAAGGATAGAGGGGGAGGCTCCTTGTACAGGTTCCAGGCATGGGTTTATCCACTGAAGCGGTCACAGACAAAGCAGACCTCTGTGCATGGGAGTTTATACAGGGAAGGTCCAGGGGTTGTGTACAAAATTTTAACCAATCAGCGAAGACTGGGGTGGAGGATAAGGCAGGGTTTACAATACACAAACCAGTGAGAAGCTCAAGGGGAAGGGAACAGAATAAACAAACCAATGGGGCTTTGAGGATTAGGGTCACCCAGAGCGGGGTGGCTACAAAAAGACAGATTGTCAAGTAACTTTCTAGACCAAGAAGCAGGTACAAGGGGAAATTGACAGGGGGGGGACTTTCTAGGTGAAGAGGTGGAGTCGTAACAGGCAGGAGGTACAACTTGGGGCAAACTGACTGACCTGAGGGGTGACAGAACATACCAACAAAACATAACGTTTACAACACAAGGCACACGGATGCACTGCAACATTCAACATCTTGTTGTAAAAGGTCCTGAGGCTGTGAGCAGAAAAACACAGGAAGAGTGGAGCCTGATGGAAAGGTCAGCCCAAGAAGAGGAATGGTAAAGAAGTTTTCCTGGGTAAAAAGAAGGAAAAGATGAAGTGGAAAGAATGGTAAGGAAAGGTTTCCCCTTTTATTTAAAAGAAAAAAAAAAAAAAACCACAAAAAAAACCCACATTAAATTGGAGCTTTAACACCTTGTTATGTGCAAACACCATCCAAGACTGAGGCAAAAGAGCTTTTGGTCTATCTGTGGTGTAAGAGCAACAGAAATACTTAAAAACCTCTTTCTCTATATAGTTGAAAGGCTGCATCAGGACTGCACTGAAGAAAAGAGCAAAGCATTCTGTAATTATAGTGTATTTTCTAAAAGGAGAAATAAGAGTTTCAACAAGAAATGAGAGGAGATTTGAAGAAGTCTCCCTGTTTCACTAGTCAGGTTAGAAATCTTCTGCAGTACCTTTCATATGGATAATTATTTTTTAAAGTTTTGTCTGTTTAAAATATAAGGAGCCCCAAGCTGGCCATTGTGTCCACAGTTTCTTTAAGTAAGTGTGAAGATGAAGCTGTAAATTGTAATGCTGTACTTACTTATTACATGTTTACAGTAGCCTGGATGTATGCTGAGTAGTTTCCAAACGCTGAAGAAGAATGGAGCCACACGTCAAGATCTCAAACTCTGAGAGAAGATGACAATATGGTTAAGAGAACAATATGCAGTTTAGCTTTAAGGCTCATTTTACACTCAGGAAAATTTCTATCACTTTAGCCTTGTTAAGAGGATTCCACATAGTAAAAAGGGTGATTTACTATTATTTTATGCTCCTTTATATTTTCAAGATAAGAAAAAGGGCCCTTCTATAACTAAAATTTGATGTGTGATATACAAATCTGTGCAGTTCAGAGTAAGCAGTTCAGAGTAAGCAACCCAAAAGCAATCCTTTTAGAAGGATTCTAAAAGTAAAAAGAGAAATGCTACCATACATCTAATGTTTCCAAACACCTTTGTCTTTTTCTAGCTTCAAGCATGCCTTGGGCAGACTTTCTAGCTGTTTAGCTGAGATTTCTCCTTTGCTAGCAAAGGCGAGATTCCCTCTCTGCTCATCAGCTGCAACACTCTCCCTGGGATCATCTCTCTAAGAATTGAAGCCCCAGGCAAGGGAGTGATCTCCATCATCCACACAACATTCTGTGCACTCCCATGTGGATGATAAACTCACTGTGAAGACAAATGCACCCTGACCTGAGCAGGTAGGATGGTCCTGCTTGTACACCCTGGGAGACAAGTGGTTGACTCAGGGCAGCACCCAGAGCCAGCCAGAGGACAAAGATATGCACTTGTGTCTGCTGGCAAGTCCACAGGGAGCTGGTTAATTTTCACACAGAAAACACTGGAAAAACACTTCTCTGTTCAATTACCTGTACAGATCTGGTGATCAGGAGTTCTCCATGACTGACACCCTCCCACCCTATGTGACACCAGTCTCTCCAAACTTCTTCCCATATACATTGCTCCATCATCCCAGGACTAGACACACCAACACCCTACAGTCAAGCCATTCTCTACCCCTGCAAAGATGGCACTTGCTTCACATCTCAGGAAGCTGTGCAGGAAAAGGTTTTATCACTGATTTATGAGACTGTCACACTGCAGGCCAGATTCCAATCAACCAGTTTGCAAATCTGAGTAACCAAGCCCTATCTCAGAGCATTTTTCCAACATATGCTGTTGTAGTGGATACAGTTGTCAGCACAGGATCCCTGACAAAAAACCCCAAAATATTTTTATTGTGCTTTCTAATGCAGTGATTATTTTTTTATTTTTTTTAGGTTTCATGTATTATTAATTGTTATCATTATTTTTTTATAATTTGTTAAGCATTTACAGCATATTTCTCCGCACACATGACTAAATTATGGTCTGATCTTTGAGAAGCTGTATTTTCAGTAGACAGATTTTTCTCGGAGACTGCTATAAGTTTATCATAATTTCTGCAATATTTACAGTGTGTCTGAAAGGTCTACCACTCAGATCTTCAACTTTCATTTTATTTTTATAGGCATTTCTTCTCCTCTGTTTGTAATGAGATGAAAGAGACTTAGAAATCTAACAGCTCTTTTTCAAAAATTCCTGTAGCTTGTTCTTATTAATCATTTGATTTCCTAGCCAATCCCATGAATATTCAAGAACTACAGAAGACTCATGAAAGAAATGTGTGAAAGCAAATAGTAGTAAAATTGCCCTCTTCAAGCACCACAAAAATAAATACCCCATGATTTATATTCATTATCGTATTTCCTGTACCATAGGTTGTGCTACATGAGGGTACACAGAAGAAATAAGTTCTGATCTCTTCTAGATTACATGGTTGGTTCATGCACAGGGTACTGTTGGTCTCTGATCTAGGGGTCGAGCTAGACATGGTTCCTGCCCACCCTCTCCACCTCACCACAATTTCTCAGGGTATGTGTTTGCCCTGTGTACTACAAGGGAAAAAAGGGATCCAAGGTTTGAGACAAAGTTTTTTTTACTTATGGTTTTACTTATGGCCTTCACAATCCTTGCATGAAGCACTGCAGTTTCTGATTTAGACTCTTTTCAGGTACAATGAATAAAATCATAGAATGGTTTGGGTTCAAAGGGATCTTAAGGATGGTCTAATCTTACCCCACTGCCATGGATGGGGACATCTTCCACTAGAACTATGTCCTGGTTTTTGGCCAGGACAGAATTAATTTTCTTGCATTAGTTATGAGGGGATGGAACCTGAAGATGTGAGGGCATGTCCAGGTTGTCATTCAATACTGCCTCACCTCATTGTTGGAGAGCAGAGGGAAGGGATTCCCACTTCTGGAACAAGGTGAGCATGGCTTGCAGTAGGGACAAAGCGTGGGCATGCAGAGGGTCTGTCCAACATTGGTTTTCACTGTTAATGACTTGGTGAATATTTTTGCATGTAAATCACCCTCTCTTTCATACACTGTTGCCATTAGTATTGTTGCTGTTACTGTTCATTCCCTTATCTGATTGGTGTTTCTAGTAAAACGTTCTTATCTCAACCCAGAATCTTTCACGACTTCTTCAGGGGAAGGAGAGCAAGTGAGTTGTGTGTGATCTGGGAGAGTTTCACAGGGCAGGGGAGAAGGCATTCAAGTAGGGAGTGCCATTTCTAAACCACAACAGCCAGGCTGCCCAAAGCCCCATCCATTCTTGTCTTGAACAGTGCCAGGGATGGGGCACCCAGAACTTCTCTGGTTAGACAATTCCAGTATCTCACTACCCTCACAGTAATGAATTTCTACCTCATATCTATCTCTCGTAATCTGCTGGTCATGCTGGAATAGAAGAAATAATGTCCATGGCTATGGACTGGGACAACGAGTGCTGGGATCTGCTGTGCTGAAATGGCTGAAGCAGGAAAAGCAGCAAGAAGTAAATGACAGTTGTGAAAGCTCAGGTTAGACAGTGGTGGTTTTGCAGCTGCTCCATGCATCACCTTTAAGAAGCAAGATCTATTTTCAGCAGCTAGAGGCAGGAAAATAGTTCAGAGAGATCCACAGAGCCTGATTCTGCTGGCTAAAAAGCCACCTTTCACTCTCCCAGCTGATGGCAATATTATATATGAGACTTGTGGTTATTTATTGTTTTAAAATGAACTAGGCATATTGATTATTTTTCCCCTTTTCTTTCTGAAAACACAATTAAGTTGGTATAACAAACAGCTCCACTAATGGACTGTGTCAGTAACTGATGGCTGTCTTTGGCTGAAGTTAACTAAATCCTTCTCTACTTGCTTCACCTCAGTGGTCTTTGCCCCAGCAGTAGTCACACTGAAATCCTTCCACACCCACCATGCACGGTTGTCCTTTCGAAGTTTCTAGGGAGCCATGGTGTGTGAAATGAGCAGATGTAGTTCCTTCATCTGGCCCGGACTCCTTATCCCATTTAAACAACACAGGGGCAGCCACCTTCAGCCAGGGGCTGAAGAGAGGGCTTCATGGCTTCATGCCATTTCAGAATCTGTCTGCTGGGGAAGCACAGGAAGGTCACAGCCCCAGACTGCCACCTCTCCAACTCCCACACAGAAAATATGACAGGAGTGGAAGATGCTGCTCACAAAGGTAAATTGGAAAGAGGATTACTGAGGACATCTAGTCACACAGACAGTGCCTCTGCCACTGGCTCTTTGGGACCCATCCTAGAAAAAATTCCCTGAGTTCAGAAATGAGCCTATATAAACTGAGAATGTCCCAGCAAGGCTCCTGCATGCAAGGAGTGCCACTCAAAAAGAGTGCCACTCAAGGAGTGCTGTCAGATCCTTCCAGGACCATGTCCCCAGGTTTCTGCCACCAAAGCATCACAGTGCCATAACTTTGAGCCCACCTTGGGGGTAGGAGCTGTCAGGGTCATGCCAGGCAACAGGATGCCCTCTGCATTTGTCGTTGGACTGGCTTTTCACAGGGTCATGCACTACAGCTGCCTGAAGATCTTCTGTTGGTTCATAATGCAGGTTTGGTAGAATTAGCCACATCTGTGAATTGGTCACAAGCTGGTGGGGCTGCTTGTACACCCCAGATTTGGCACAGGATTCAAAGCACCACTGAATCAAGGGTCTGTTAGACATGGGGAGGGTCGCAGCTGAAAGCACCCACCCTGAGCTGTTTCAGGGGAATGAAAGAACCTTGTGCAGAGGGCTGAGGGCATCAGTCATCCCTCTGAAAGGATGGCAGAGAGTGACATTGCATATAAATAACTGAAACACACAACCCAGGACTTTCTGTCTCTATCGTCAGACAACAGACAGACAGTTGTGAGAAATACAGCAGCCACATGGAAATGAAAAACAGGCTTACATTTGTCACCTCATTGAATCCAGGTATAAAATATGATACATCTTTCTCCAGCAGATAATGTCTTCTGTATCATCTGGAGGCCAGGTTCAGCCCCCCTGAGGCTCCTGAAGGAAGGTACAGATTACATGTACGTGTGTGCACAAGGGAACTTCCTCAAGCACCTAACATGGTGAATTGACCACCTTCCCATAGGGCAAACTCCTGCACAGAAGATTAAATAGCCATCACTTCTGCCTATTTCTTTTTACTGCCTCCAGTGAGAACCACGAAAGTGTACTCAAAGGCAGAGGCTGGCTTATAATTCTTCACCTGCAAGTGTCTAATAAAACAAAACCCCTGTATTTTCAGACAAGCTGACTGTCATGCTACATTGCCTTCTCATCACAGTGACATGTCAGACACTTGCAGAGTACTAGTGTGAAAAAAACTACACTTGTACACAGTGACTGTGCATGGACAGGATACTGCCAGGGAACTTGCAACTATTGGTAAAGCTGTGCTTTTCCAGGTATTTTTCTACCAAATTATGTGAGAAGTGGGGCAGTTCTTCCAGAATTTCAGCAGGACTACAGAGCCACAAGAACACAGCTCAATACCCCTGTACCATCCACAACTGTGGCTGCCCAAGAAAATCCCTACAGATGCAAATATTTTCCAAGGAAGCACAGTTTCGGTCCTAAATTCATAAATAATGCTGAAGACCTAGAAAACATAGATACCTACCCCAGCTCACCAGAAGAACCTTTCTCCTGCTGTCCTAGACTCTGTCAGCACTGGGAATGACTGTAGTCATGCTTCCTGGACTGAGTTGCATGGATAGTTGAACTTTACCTAAGTGTGGTGTGTCTCCCTCAGATCATCTCTGGATTGTGCTTGAGAATCTCCTCTGTGTGTCTAAAATTTTTGTCATACAAGTAATGCTTCATTCTGTTACCTCAGTCTGATGGTACAGGTCCTCTCAAAAAATACAATGGAGATGTGAAAGTGGTTTGCAGGTGACTGGACTGCACAGCCCACCTTGCAGGTGGGCGACAGGAATCCAAAACCTTCAGCTGAACTCTGCATTTGGCCAAAACAACTGTTATAATATAGAATTGGGAGTTTCTTATTTCTGGTTCCTTGTTTCAAAGGCAAAAAGAAGATGGAGAGAAAAGCAACCTAATAATCAACCCACTTCCACTCACAGTCAGGGAGAAGTCCTCCACATACTCCCAGCTTGAATGAAATCAAAGCTTATTGCTTTCATCACATTTTCACAGAAAATATTTTTAATTCATTGACCATCTATTTTAACCATGTAGTTGCAAACGTAACTATGGAGAATAGATGAAGTGGCAAGACAGGACATAAGACTCGTTAAGTAGAAATCCAAGGCAGTTCAAGAGTACCTTGATAATGATAGATTCCATTGCATTCAACACAAATTCCCCACACCACCAGGACCCTGAAGGACCCCCATGCTGCCATGTTCTATGATGGGACCTGTGAGTCCTGTCACCTGAGCCAGGCATCCTCCAAAGGGTCTGCTGGGGGAGGAGGAAAAAGCAGTGCTTTGGAAAAGAGGGTCATCAGCACAGGCCAAGGCCAGGAGGCCTAGTTCCAGGTATGTATTCCTAGAAATTGCTCTGAAGGTCCAGATTCCCATTTGAGCAAATGTTTGTGTTGGTACTAATCACAGCTGCCTTTCTGAAGTTCCTGGTAAAGGAACTTTTATTCATATTCCTGTGTAAAGTTCTGTTTCTAGTTAAGAGTTTCCATAGACTCCTCTGCATGTACCACTGAATGGGGTTACTTCATGCTCTGGCAGACAGATGGGATTGTACTGTGTATATTTACATATTTTTTTAAAAGATATTGCTAATGCATTTCAGTAATGATATTTTTTAAAAAGTCTTTCTAGCCATTACAGTAATGGCTTTGAGCTAATTGCTTGCATTTGTGCTCAAATATGGTTCTCCCCTCTCTGACTCATTTCTACTTTTATGGAAATCAGATTGCTCGCTACACTTCTAACTCACATCTCTTGAGGACCAGCTGTTGTCTGACTTCCTCACTCAGATAGGAAGTTACTGCACTGATTACAGGAGGACCACTTGTGGAGGAAGAGGCTTCTTAGCACAGGTAAAATTTCCAGAACCTGACTTACAGTCATCCTGTGAGATATGCTGGGAGATGCTGTGTGCTTTTTGTACCTGATGAATTACACCCTGAGGGATGCAGGCAGGCAGAGCCATCTCCCCTCAGAATTAGCTTTCTTGCAGTTCTGCCTATTGCCAGTAATAGAAAATTAGAAAATAAATAAGGAAGCTCTTAGTGACTCTTTCATGTCATGGGCTGAACATGCAGCTGCTCCAGAAAGATTTTATTGTGTGGCCGTCCCTGTCCTCTCAGCCTCTTTGCTGATTGCTAGGACAAAAATTTCCATGTTAATAGATGACTGGTCTCCACAAGGGTTTGTGCTGTACTTGGCACCAATCAAAAAGGAGGACCAAGGTTTCTTTAGGTTCCTTTGAACTTCCACTTTGACAAGGTATTGGAGCCACAGGGAAAGACAAAAGACTATGAGACTGGAAATTTCCTTTGTCCAACCTAGAAATAGGAAAGTCCAACCCACAATGTATAAAGCTGAGGCCATAGTCCAATAGATGCACAACAGCTGAGAGTCTTGCTCCAGTAACTACAGGATGGCTTCTTTTCTCTTAAGCACCAAGACAAGAGAAATGTGACTTAGATGTGCTTTTGGAGTCACCTTCAAGTATTTACTGAAGAACACAGTGACTGACTCTTGTCAAGGATTGCTGCACATTTCACAGGAGAGCACAAAACCTGTCAGAAAGTGTCTGCTGCCTAAATGCTGCAAAGCTCCCTTTGCTTGGAGCACGCCCAGACTAGCTTGAAACTGAGAATCATGAGCAGCAGACCCTGAACTCATGGGAGGATAACTACAGCTCTGAAACATGAGTTGGTCACTGACTTGCAAAGGAAAGGAAGATATTCCACTGCCTTCCTGATGTTCACATGCTCTATTACCACATGTAATCTGGCCATTCAGAATCAGAGGGTAGGAAGACAGAGGTGCTTGAGAAAGGGATGTGTGCTCTGCCAGGGTCTTTTTTGTCCAGGGCATCTGAGAGAATCATTAAGCCCCGCTGAGCACCTTCATTTCATCTTTGCTCAGCACTGTGAAGTCTTACCCAGTACAGGGAGGACAGCTCTTCTTAAAATACTTGTTTGTGTTGCTGACAGACTCAGGCTTAGCCTTGAGTTCCCAGGTCTTGATGACTGTACTGTACTCAGCTGCAACCCTCACAAGACTTTGGTCATGTTAGGGGAATTTGCATAGGCATCTCTGCCAGAAGTGTTGGATCTGGTCATCTTCCCTTTCATTTCAGCAACTCAGCTGTTTGGAGCACCTGCAATTTATTTCCTCATCCCACTTTGCACAGATCCATGTACTCAATGTTCTCCTCATCTCTTTGCATGTTATTTATCTGTTATTTTCTCCTTTTCACTCAAGACTTTAAAAAAAGCAATCCAGACTTTCTTCAGGCAAAGGCATCCATAGGTGTCCCCATGAATTTTGTCCCAAGATTGTTCTGTCCACTTCAATGCTGGACCTAAATTATGTGACTTGTACCCCTGAAAACTGAATGAAGTTACTTTATTATTTTGTCCTACTGCATACATGTGTCTCTTTTTCTTCAGTCATGAACTAGATGAGGGAAAAATTAAATGAGTATCTTATAGATTTACATTCTTAGCACAGAATTTGTTGCTTTATGTCCCTAAATCTATCTGTCAGCTTCTATCACACATTAGGGCCCTTGCTGGAACAGTGGCTCCACCATTCTTAAATTAGTTTTCCTTGTTGATGTTTAAATGAAAAGAGACATCCAATTTGTGGCTGAAAACGTTTGTTACTTCTTAGGGGGATCCAGACACACAAAATACAATTAACATCTCTGAGGAACATTGCACAGAGGTTCAGCACCAGCTGACAGGGAAAATGAAAACAAAATCAGTTGTTCTAATACCGTAACTCGAGTGGCAAATGTAATCTTCTCCCTTTATCTGAGGTCGGAATTGCTTTCCTGCAACAGCTTTCATTATGAAAATGCGGCACTTCTCAGCACCAGAATATTAAGACAACACACACCCACGGCGGCCCAGATCATTTTAATGAGGAACAAACAATCAAGAATGCAGCTTTTATGGTTTTTTTTCTGGGCTAACACCTGCTTTGCAGCAAATGAACAATGGTAATGATAAGCACAACAACTCACATGTGTCTGGACTGAGATGTGCGTCATCGGCATCTTTTTTTCTCACCACCTAAAGAAGGACCCAGTGGCCAATGTTACTTTTAGGACTACCAGAACCTTTGACCACTGGCTTAGGACAAGCTCTGTGATTCCTCGAGCTGTTGATCTTATGTGATGGCCCTGACCTCCTCAGGAGTCTGTGAGATCAGTCAGGCTACTGAAGATCTCCCAGTCTCTTGAGGAATTTATTGAGGAGTGGATAGAATTTTACCCCTATTTTACTTCTTTGGTTCAGGACCCTCAAGACATTTGCTTACAGAGTGA